ACATGTGTTTTTCCCCCGCTCGTTCGTGTGCATATATATGCTTTTACAGTATGTTCGCTGTGTGATTTTTTTCTTTTTCAGCCCAGATTAATAGGTAAAAGAGCTGCATTGTATTTTTTAGTGTTGTTTTTATGCTATCAGTATTTTATTGGGCTCATCGATAAAAACTTTGCTCATTTTATCTATTGGCTTGAGCATGCTGGTTACGTCGCTGAAGACGAGGATTCAATTGCGAACAATTTAGAATTCAGTAAGCTTGGCTCGTGATGTGTTCTTTCGATTTATATAGACACATGAAAATTTATAAGTATGCACCAGACTTAAATTCAAATGCCCAAATTTGGCTTATGGTTACTTATACAGATAAAATAATGGATCTATCTTCTGGTTCTTATCGGCATTACCGATGGCCAAATTCAATGTATTATTTTGGCTAGTTCAACAGCTTTTTATACTCGATGTGTATTTCGCAACTGCTTTCATTGGCCATTGATATATTCCTTGAAGAACTGCCTAGCGGACTAGGCCCTTATATTTAGGTTCGTATTAAACTGTTTGCAATACTTAGATTGAGAGTTGGATGATTAATGCAAATTATTTATTTTTATAAGGGATTTTCATCTGGTAAAATGAGATAAGTCTTTCAATGGCGAACAACTTTATGTTAGGGTGTTGGAGGCCAAATCTTGCGTACATATATTTCAATAGATTCCTTTATAGAAATTTGTGTATATCGGCGAATTATCATGGAGACTATGAGCATTCCCAGTTACGAACCTAAATATAATCCATAATTAGTGGTATTTTGAATGTACGAAAAGGATTTGTCAGATCCGAAGTTTTCGAACTTCATCTCGAATTATTGAGCATGTTTCCAACATCAGGTTTAAGTATAATCTTCATATTTTAATGGCGTTTTCACTATGTGTATCTGATAGTTGCTGACTAGCATATTTACTATGTTTCGTGACAACCTTGCGGTACATTTATAGTAATTAAATTATAATTGGCTTATACCTCTAACTAGAGTTCGCCACATTAGTGTTAAGTTTCATGAGTTTAACAAATTAAAAATAATTAGAAAATAAAATTTTTTACGTGCTGTTTCTTTCTTTAATTGTTATATTCTATGGTGTTATAATTTTCACATTAAGCTACAGACGAACAATATATTACAATAGTTATGCTTATTTGATTATAATTTCTAATGATGAAAGAAAAGAATAATACCCCCATTATTCTCATTATAGATATTACGCATTGAAGGCCCATTCATTATTTGATTTTTATCGCTAGCATATAGAATACAATATTTCATACGTGATAGCAAGGAAAGAGTATTGAAAGAATCAAGCGAAAAAAGATATAACGCGAATGTAATTATGGCCATGATCAATACGTCGTTTATCTTTTCAAAAGTTTGAAACAAGGATAGATGCGTGCTGCATGAATGCAAAGGACAAGGTGAAAGTATAAAAGCGTGTTATAATTAAACGTAAGAATACTTGGTTTATCAAGATACTAACATTTTCGATATTAATATTTACTTTTACTACAGCATCTACTACATCGTTCAAATTGGAAACATGTTACAATTCGTCAAAAATTGTACGTATGACAAATGAAATATTGGAATCAATCAATATATGTTAAAAGTATAGAGCAGAATTAGTGAGTTCGAACAGATTTTCTCTACTTTTTATTTTTATTAGTTAAATTTGCAGATAACGAGCAGTTTTCATGTGTTAATGGCTGAAATATTGAAAAAGTACAAGGATTGTTATCCATTAATGATTCAAAACAACGTTTTTATGATTCATGATCGTATCTTAGCAGTTTATCGACAAAAAAAAATGTAACTAACGTGAGTATTGCTATGATTTTTCTTTTGATTATATGTGTTGATTATTGCTGCTTATAAGGCTTCAAGGACATACGTCATATATGCATGTATAAAGAGGCCGTGTTTAATAGCAAATTTATGCATATGATCATGCATCCGTATAAGTTAGCACGACAGTATTCAAATTAACATTACATATGCATGATTATATTGACTATAGGCGAAACATAAAATGCTGCATCAATCACTGTTCATATTTAATCAGTACCAATGTTTGCATAGTCTTTCTTCAGCAAATATTGAACTTTTCGAAGCGCAAAAAATGCAATCACTATCGTGAGTATGCAAATAGATGCATTAAAATTCACTTGAATACAAAGAAAAAGAAATTACAATGTATACTTACCTATTCAATTCAAGATAAAGCAAATAGATTTCAATAATTTATGAAACTTTGTCCTTGTCATTGTACTCAAAAGGATTGCACAACATATAATTACAAAGAAAGCTTTTTAAATTCTTCTACTCCAATAGTATGCATGATATTCTTTAAAATTTCATTACTCTTTTTTTTTGTCATTGAAAGTAGTTCTATGAATGAATCATTGTATGGCTACTTAACTACGTGATACATAGTTTAACAAAAAGCTTTCTGACTAATTGTATAATGTGTGTTTGCTTAGTGGGTAGAGCTATTTTATAGAGAAAAGAAAATACTAAAAAGAAACAAAAAGCATTGACGAACGACAGCTATGCTCACTTCTATGTGTTAATAAAACAAATGCATGTAGGCGAACAAAGAATGAGAAAATAGATTGTAAGCAAAAGAAAGAGAACGCAGCACATCACATCACATCGCATCGCATCGCATATGGTGTTCGGCCCCGCGCTTGTCTCAAATTTACATCTATCCATTAACTATTTCTCCATTCGCTCGCCGTAAGTTCACCTTACATAGGTCACTCAAAGTTCGAGGGTAAGTTTTTTTTAACGACGAATAAAATATCTTTTCTTTCTCGGTTGTGTCTTTTATCTTATTCTTACTTCTTATCTAGTCTACTATCACATTAAATGTTCATATTTTACATTAACAAACTAAGATATACTATCTAAAAGCTTTTTTTTATTTCTCATTCACTTTTCTTTTCTATCTACTTGCTTTATCAAATGTCATGATCATATCTTTCATGCACATTTAGCACATAGTAACTTGAAGCTTATTTGACGTTATGATTAATTCATCGTTTTTCTTTCATTTATGATTCAACTAATTCAATCTTTTTTGACTACTTGTATAAGCTTACGTGACAATAGCATAATTATTCTAATATCGTCATACATCAAGTTTCTTTAAATATTTATTTTACATTCCTTTTTAATCATTTTAGTAGACATGCGAGTTTGCTTTACATTTACAACGTGCGGAATTTGAGATAATAGTATGGACCAGAGACGGAAAGTATATTTGTCATAGTTAACTAAATTTTTTGACTAATTCTATGTGTTGGCATAATAAAGAAATCTGTTTCCGAATGAATAATTTTTGCTTTTAGAAAATCTTTTTATCATAAGTCTGTCGGAAACCTGATTTTATTCTCATGAGCCTGACATTCTCTTCAGGAAACGCAAATATAGATGCAAATAATTAATGTGCGTCATAGGATCTATTACAGATTTAGTCTAATAACGAGTGCCATTCAGAGATCTGTTGAATCTTATTAGAAAAATTTAGAATACTAAGAGTTCGCTACTTTACTTTTCCATATTAGTTTCCTATAGTTACCTTTATAGTATAAAACTGACATACTTCTTCTTGTTACTTTAAAGCGATGACAGATATAGAAAGTAAGAATTTATAGCAATATGAGCCAAGAGATAGGATTATCCTCACAAACGCCTTGCGAGTTCTGTCTCAAGATCGTATGCGCTTATTTTCGCTATGTAAAGCCAAAGCAAACATTAAAATGGCAAAGAAATTAGCCTTTTCCTTCGCCGCCTCTTTTCAATGCAAACATACTATTTACTTAATAAAGCCTTTTCCTACTTGCAAAACGCGTATTCAACCTTTAAAACCCATCGCACATGTCTATTTGCCAAGACAATGACTTATAGAAGTTTTACAGCATATATTTACTATTGTAGAAACGATTGTAAAATGCTTTTGCTCGCTCTATAGTAATCGTAATCAATCCACATCGCCATTTTGTTTTCCGTACTTAGATAAGTGCAAAATTTATCGATAAGCTTGATGATTCATATTATGCAATAATGTCGCTAGTAGTAAGCTTAAAAAAATATTTATTGCTGTTACTATTAACGACCTCTACTGTAAAACTATTAATTTCTTTTCGTTGTTTTAAATACTATTTACAAGAAATATCTATTCCGATGAATATGAATAGAAGTTTTTTTTAGAAAAGTATTCGATTCGTTAAGTTTCACATACATACAGTACATGTAGTCGCAGGATGGTTCGAATTGCTGTTCTTTGTTCATATCTGACCATTTACGTAATGTGTACATAGAATAGTGCATTTTATATGCTACCACTTGAAGAGCTCTTTTTTTTATCGATTCTTTTCATATTTGTTTAGGCATAGATGATAAAGGAATAAAGAATTGTTTATTTGCACTAGTTCGTACTTAGATGCGTTTTATGTACTTATCGAATTTCGTATTATCTTTATTGTTTATTTGCTTTTTGGTCCAATAAAATTTCTCTCTCTCGATAATTCATGAGCTCTACCATGTTTTACTCTATGATCGTATTTCTTACTCTCTTTCGCCTAAACATTGTATTACTCTATATCCTTTTTCTTTCTCTTTCCTTCTTCATTTTTGTATGATATAAAGTACACTAACGCTCGTCTCTTTACTTAGCCGTGCAAAATAAACGAATTTCTTCTTTTGTTTCTTCGTTTTGTCTTCGCGTACATCAACAGTTTATAATGATCATTTGTTTGTTTTCTATTAGTGTCGCTAGTATCGTATGATATCATTATCTATTTTTATTTTCTAGATTTGTTTTCTATTTCTTCCATGCTAAAATCATCACTGATTATGTCATATTATATTTAACATCGTTAGTGATAAGGTATGTATTGAAAATAAATTAAATTTATTTATCAACTTATTTTTATTAGCATATATATTAATAATGGTTAAAAACGAACAGCCAAGAACTATTAATTCTACAATACGAACTACACCAAGTGCACCTATTCCTCCACCTCCTCCTCGACCACAAGCACCACCACCTCCACCAACACAATTAATAACACCTATGTTTTCAACGGCAGTGTTATCACACCGATTAATTGATCCTAATGCAATTGATATAACATCATTAAAAGGTCAATTCGCATGGGAAAAAGTACCACAAAGTGACACATATGTGCCTGTGATATTTCGGTATGTAGATAAAAAATAATTAGTCATATTATACTTAAATTTTGAAATCTTATGCAATACACTAACGCCTACAAGCTTAAAAATATTATTCATAATAATACTTTTGTCAATAGATCTGAACAATTGAAAAAGGACATTCTTCGTTCTCTTTGTATTACTCACCTGAAATAATGATTTTTTTCTCTATTATTTGATTACATTTGCCACATATTCGAAGAGAATAGGTGGGTGGCTGTGAGTATTCACGTTTATTAATAGAATAAATATTGATAAGAACAGAATGTAATTATACATTTTATTTTGCTTATATGATGATGGTGAATAAAAATGTATATACACATAGAAAAATTGAAGAATGTTATAATTCTAATGTATATGTATCATACAGAATAAATAGAAAACTTAATTAATTATAGAATAAAAAAAAAAACTTTCTTTTCTTTTTTTTCAGTGGTGATACAAAATATTTTTGTGTTCGAATGCTTCGTAAAATTCTACCTGAATATCCGGAAGATATTATACGTCGTGCCTATCAATATCAATATCGAAAAACAATTGATTTATATTCTGTGACAGCATGTGAAGTCGAACTATTAAATAGAATAAACAGTCAACATTCACGTTGGGCATTTTCTCGACAACCATTTACTGCACTCGATGAAATAGTTCGTGTTTCGGATTTTACACCCTTTTATGAATATCTTCGTCATGGGACAAAATCAACATCGGCTGTATCAAATGTAACAGTACATACATTACGACAATTATTACCACAACCACAACAGACTGTACAACGAGCGTCTGAAAACGTAATTAATATGCCAGCAATTATACAAAGACAATTAACAATACCACAACCAATACCTGCTCAGATACAATCATATACTCCGTCAACAAATTTTACTCGTGAAACTATGTCATCAACATCACGACCTATCGCACCAACACATAATGTACGACAATCAAAATCTATTGGAAATCCTTATGCTGTTTTATTGCCATCACGATTACCACAACAGATACCATTACAAATACAATCATCAGTACCAACGTCAATAAATAATACTATGGCAAAAGCTTCAGATAGAGGTAAATAGATAAAAATGAAATTTTAGAATATAATTATTTGTAATCGAAAAAAGTTTCATATTTCTTTTCTTTATGATAACGATTTCTAATTAGTTTTGATTAGGATTTTGTAATGCTATAAGAGAGATAAGAATAAAAATATCTAAATTTTAGTGCTTTCGACTACTTCAAATGTAACTCCCGTATCAGTATTATCATCAGTTAACAGTTCATCTACATCTTTATCTCCTGCTGTATTATCATCCATTAATAATTCTCCTCCTGCGTCTACATCTCCTGTTGTACCACAACCATCAACAACATCCATGGCGACAAACATTAATAGAAAACCTTCAACAGCATCTATACCATCATCTTTATCAATAAATGGTAATCGAAAGCCATCTACATCATCTATATCACCATCACCATCATCATCATCATCAACAACTACAACAAATTCATTATCATCATTATCAAAAGCTTCTAGTTTGCATTGTGGTTGGTTACAGATAAACAAACTTTATACACCATATATATCAACAAGTGCAAAAAATCATTTATATAAATTACCCGTTAGTCTTTTAACATTTTATGATCTTCTAAAAGTTCCATCAGCTGAAACAAATGATTCACCAAATGAACCTTTACTACCATTTGAACAAACAAATGCTTCACCACAAGAACTTGAATTAATCAATGAACTTTGTATTAAACAACATATAAGACCATTTGGTACTGATACTAAACTTATTGAATTATCAACATTTTATCAATATACAGCAGCAAATATTCTATTTGTTAAAGAATTACCAAATGAAGAACCAAAATCATCTATTTGTAAAGAATGGGCATCAATCGTACAGACAAATGGAGGAATTTGTCTTTTACGTAATATATCAACATTACAAGAACAAACTGTACCTTTTATTGGAAATAATTTATTGAAAAATTTTATTCTATCAACACATTGTTTGTCAACAGCATCAGTATCAAAACCTACATCATCTGAATTGGAATTTCTTCAATTAATACTTTTTTTTAGTAATATGTCGATTAATTTACGTAATGCACAATTAATTGATATTGAATCTGTTCGGAAAGAATATAATGTTGATTTAATACTTTTATTTAATGATAAATTTCCATTAAACGTACTCAATTATCAACAAGGTAACGAAAAATCTTATTTATTTCAATTAATTTTATAATAAATTTTTTTTGTTGTTGTATTCAGGTGGTAGTCGATCGAATTCATCGCAAGGATCTGTAAAATCAACAAATCCAACAGCACCAACAAATACGGTAAAATAAAAATGATTAATTGAGAAAGAAAGCATTATAAATAATTTTTATTAACTTTAGATTGCTGAATCAACACCACCACCATCGCCTCCATCTCCTCCAATTAATCAACCACAATCTACTAGTACATCTCAATTACCATTAACACCAACAACAAATCGTTTTCATAAAACAATAGAATTTCATGGTCATACTCTAACAGCATATATCTGTTCTGGTCTTGGAGCAAATACTCAACGTGAATGTGTTTCAATAAGATCTCTATGTAATATTCTTTGTCCAAATTCGACATCTCCTGATAAACTTGAAGTAAAAATGTTACCTTTATTACGATCAAAGAATATCAATCGATTTCGACCACAAAATCAACAATCACTTGGTGTGACACGTTTAATTGATATACAAGATGCTGAAAAACATTGGACTTATATTGAACAAGAAATGCATTCAATTTTTAATGGTAAAAACAAAAAGAAAGGAAATCATTCTGAATTCGTTTTTGTAGATAATGAAAAAACAAATATTCAAACAAATACTTCACCAATATCAAATGAAAATTCGAAGGCAAGTACAGTGGTGGTGGCGGAGAGAGTAGAAAATGATGAACAACCATTATTAGAACCTTCTATTGAAATAAATAAAGGTGAAAAACGATCATTAGAGGAACCATTAGATGAAGAAGATATACCCGTTTTGGAACGACTTAATAAACGTGTAAGATTTGCTGAAAAAGAAAATAATGAACAAATAAATGAAACATTAAAGACTTCAACATGTTCAGTGAGTAATGGTAAAACAAAAACTGATGATAAATTATCACCAAAAAAACGAACAATAAAAATAACGAAACGAAATACGAAAAAACGATTATTACCTTCATCTCGAACCAATAGACAGACAAAAGCAAAATGGGTCAAAAAATATAATATTGAAGATTGTTGTATTCAATTAATTCAATACGATCCAGTTTATGATACCGAAAAAGATTAATTTTTTTTCTCTACTGTTTCTTTTCTTTCTTTCTTTTTTCCTTCGCCTTGACTTTTTCTTCTTTCTCTTTGTGGATAGTCAGTGTCTGCGGAGTAGATATATAAAACGTTTATGTAAAATAAGTCAAGGCATTCTTAGCATTTTTTTCTTCGTTCTGTTGTATATTTCATAATATCAGAGCTTTATTTCTTCTTTTCTTTTTTCTGTTTTTCTTCTCTTTACAAAAAAACCTACTATGCAAGTGTGATTCTTGTTCTTGATCGATCTACTTTCTCTGTGTTTATATACATATGCGTACTGAGATAAATCAAAGGCTCGTCAATTTTATTTCTGATCTGTTTGTTGTTGATTTTTTTTCCTCTGACTGTTATTATTCTTGTTTTTTCTCTAGTTTTTGTTATTTACTTTTCATACGATTAGTGAAATACTTGGTCACACAAAAAAGAATACAAGATGAACATGATGAGTGATTTTTACCTAGAATATTGTCTATTTCTTTATATCGAACGGTTATTTGGTTATCTGTACTTGGATGGATCCTCTATTGTGAACAACAATCTTGAATCTGTATGGATTACTATCACAGTGAATATCAGAGTCGAGATTTTACTACATCTGGATCTTTCATAAATTGCCAACAACTTTTGTGGCACACAAATCAATGGTCCATATCAAATTGAGATTTATTGGATTGTGATGGAAAGAAAAACTTGACAAGCAATCTGTGTGGCATACTGAGTCCTTCGTCTATAATGATTGAATATCTCAGTTAATGCTATACAAATCTTTCTAAAAGCGAAAAAATTACTCATAGCTACCTAAATTCTGTGGTATTAATATTTTCCGTTGAACGGATATGTTGCTACGAAGTTTATTTGAAGATTACAGACATTTTTTATGGATTTTGTAACAATTAATATTCAAGACTGAATAAATAACATCTATCAATAATATGCTACAAACTTATCACATGCAAACATCTGATGAAGATATCATATTTGTTACAGATTGCAATGAGTTTTAGTGGAGTGATATGTGCAGCCATAGGAATATCATTATATAGTTTGATTCTTTATCAGGGATGTGACTATTCAAGCCTGCGAACCGTAAGCTCTAGTAAAAAGCTAATGTTTATTTCGTGTTAAATGAACTTGGAATGATACGCTAACGCCTACTCTCGAAGCTAACATGAGACTGTTGCATCCTTGCTCATTACTAGGTAGTGTGAATACGTATGGGTCTGCTTTCCGTAAGATAAACATGCAGATGTCGCTAGATGTATACGCTCATTGAAGACTTCTGTGAGACTCGCATATAAAAATGTGAGTGTTAGCTATAAGTTCGAAGTTTTGCAAATCCTTCTCTCCCATACAGACAGATTCCCTTTCCACACGGACGAAAAAGCTGAGTTTTTTCTGCAGTTTTTGCATTAAAAAGCTCGAAAATTCGATTTTTAATCTAGTTTATTAAAAACATTGATTTTTACAAGGGAAAAAAGCTGAGTTTTTTTAGATTTATTATGCAAAAACTCGAAAACCTTCAAAAAGCTCAGCATTTCCCCGATCGGGTTTCACTCAAAAACCTCGGTTTTCAGCTTTTCTCCCATCGCTCCTCCTTCACAGTCAGGCTTAGACATGCACCAAACCTAAATTGTTTTGGCGCTTGAATATATTAGTTTGGGTCAGATGTCGAAATTAGCTATACGTCAAATCCAAATTACTCTGGCCTTTTGAATTTAGGGCATTGAGTGTAGATTTGAGTTTGCATATATATTTACGCTTGCGTCTAGATCAGATATCGGCAATGATCCAAACCCAAACTATTTGAGTTTGGTGAGTTTGGGTTTGGATTTAGGTCTAGGCTTACGAGAGAACCTCCCCAATTGCCAGGTCACTTTTTAGGTAAAACCTAATGGGTTCTAGGTTATCGATTATGCTGATTCCGAATATGAGCATGAGAAGTACTCTTAGATCTTTGTAGGGTGGTTTTCTAGAAAACCGGTTTCCAGAAACCACAGGCTTTTTACTAAATGTTCTTTTTTATTCGCTCAGATTATAGAGTACATCGAACTGCTGATGAAACGGCAGTTTTTTTTTTTTCGCAGAAATGAACTCTAAGGAAAACAATACAAACTTTTGTATTCTGGTATTAAGTTGTTGCGGTGTGCACCTATTTGATAGATTTACCTGACTGTATTTTCTCGAATATTCTGTTTGAAATAGAAAGAGTTGGTGTTTCATAGATACTTGGATAAGCTCTATAAGCTCAGCGAATAAAAAAGAACCTTTAGTAAAAAGTATGTGGGTTTTTGGAAACTGGTTTTCTAGAAAACCATCCTACAAAGGCCTAAGGGCACTTCTCATGGTCATATTCGGTATCAGCATAGTTGATAACCTAGAACTCTGTAGAGTTTACCTAAAAAAGCGATTTGGCAGTAGGAAAGGTTCCCTCGTAAGCCACACAGAAATTTAAATCCAAACGGTTAGGGTTTGATGCATGTCTGACCAGGATACCATTACAAACAGCTACGTTTGATTAGAACGTTTGAGTTTATAGATTGAGGTTTTACGCTATCTTCTTCAGCCTGCGAAGTTAAGAAGCCGTGGTTGAAGGATGTGAGTGTGGGTGGGTGTGGGTGTGGGTGTGGGTGTGAGTGGGTAATGAGATAAAAGGCGCCGACGCCGCCAAGGATTAGAGAAAGTAAAGGGAATAAAAGGGTATATACTGTTTATTATCAAATAAAGTCAAGGTACAACCGTACATGTTTGATTTCTTGCGGATCCCCCGTGCTCGAAGCTTAATAACTGCGTCTTTTTAGTAATTGTGGGGAATAGATCAGTTGCACAAATTAGCCCCAAAAGGGCTGTACGTATAAGCTTTTTTTTATAAATATCACAGATATATACATGCCATCAAATGCTTTAAAGAAGGTTACAAATCTTCAATAAATAAAGATTCGTTCCATTTATTTATGCCTCGTTAATCAAAGATTATATCGGTTGTATTCATCCATTTTAATTTCCTTATAGTCAAACTTAGGCTAGTTCTATCGATTCTGTAAAACATGTTCTAGAAAAGCTAGAAACCTGCAGATTCCGTGAAAGTCAGGGAATCCAGCAAATGTAGGAAACTCATGTAATCCATGAGATTTATGACTGCATCCATGATCCATTTACTGGAGTCATGCGGGGCAGTCTCGAATTTCTTTTTGATTGGTATACTGAAATATATCTTAGACTTCAGTTTTTTTTTATTTCTTAGTAGAACTATTGGATGAAATATTAGTTTATCCACCAACCATGTGAATACACGTATTTTAGCTTATTGATGTTACAGCGAAGATGTGTTATTTTCTGTCGTAGAGTGACATCTGTATATTTTTTGGTCAGCAAAACAAAAGGGATTTTACGGCACAACTCGAAAAGGTTCGGGATCGGACTTTCAGGATCGGGACAATAAAAAAAGTTTGCCCTGCAAGTCTCTATCATTTACATATTGCACTGCTAGATATCTATCTAAGCTTCACAACAATTTTTTGTCATGCTGAATCTGGTGTCCGATATGGTTTATTACACTGAAATAGAAACCGGCAAAAAGTCCAGTACTAGTTACTGCCTGAAGAATTCATAGTTTGAGTAATTTTAAGACCTTGTGCATATTATCATTATACAAGATACAGGCTGAATAATACAAACATTATATAGTGCTAATACATTACGAAAAAATAGAGTTAAATGTAAAATCAGAAGCAAATAAACTCTCGTTATCTTTTTCATTAAAATATAAGAATTATCTTAATTTGGAATTTAAGAAACAACCAATAAATATACATTTCTTTCATGACATAAATCGGTACCGGTCAGGATACTTATTTTATCAGAAGAAGATACAGAGATGATTTCAACGGCGTTCGATCAACTACATCGAAAAGTTCAGTGTGATATATGTGTGAGAGTGCTTCATATAGGAATATCATATGAGTAGTGACATCTTCAGAAGATGGAAATACGATAATATCACCCATAAGAGCCTTCAAAGTCATGTCACAAAGGAGTTTTGTTTAGCATTATTCTAAGTAGTATCAGAGATCTTTTATACAATAGATGCAACTCTGGTCATCCTCTAGCTTAATATCTGGAGGACCTATAGATCTTTCAAAATGTCATGGTTGAATGAACTGCATCCAACTTAACTATTCGTTATAACTATATTAGCAGAATTCTATAGATCATGAATATTCTATGAATCTCATAACAATATGGGATTATATCATACACTTAATGAAAGTTCTTTCAATAGATTATATCAATACTGCAACTCTGTTGAAAATCACACGCACAGCGTCTTCAGTTTACGTAGCTGAGGTTAGCATTATATTCGAGTAAAACCTCCTAATATTTGTTCAAAGAGCTGTTTCAAGTACAACTAGACGAGCTCTACCTAATGACATGCTCAGTTTTCACTTATCTCAAACTATAATTTTCGGACTCATAGATGGCGCCACAAAAAGTCTTTGAAACAACGTAATTTGATCTGTGTGAAATCTGAGCATACTATTATGTAGAGCTGATCACGTTGTACTTGAAATATCTTTCTAGATGAATATGGAAAGACTTTATTCGAATATGGTACTAACGTTTCTTTCCTTATAATAATCGTTTACATTAGAGACAAAGCGAAGTACATATGTCTACTGGATCATTTAGCTGGACTATGTTGTTTTAATCAAGAGGTCCGTTTTTATTTTTATCAAAACTGTGCTGAGTAAAAAATAGTATTAGACAGTCTCTCCAATCCTATCGACAATCAGTAGTAGACGTTCACTTTTTCTTCACAAATAACAAACTGAGAAAGAATTAGTGCAAAATTTGTTACAACTATAAAAATTATCTGACCTGTAAAATCTTTATTTATAAATGAAAAGCATCAAAATAAAGCTATTTTAAAGAAATAATACAATAAAAAAACATTTCAGTAAAAATAAAATAAGAATAGTATAA